GGTACATTCCCATACCTCTTTTCAGTACGATCAAGTGCTTGCTGGCCCACTTTCTGCAATGACTTATCTAAAATAGCCTTGCAGCTGTAATCATTAGGTTATTTTCTGCTATTGAGGCAGTATTGCTACTGTTGTGGTTTTGCCACGTGTCAGCTTTTATGGTTTTTTGCACTGTGTCAACAGGTAGGCAACCCACCACTAAGAATTAGCATTGCCAAAGACAAAAGCTACCAGGCGGTCCAGATCAAAGCCAAGCATGACTCACCAAACTTCAGGCCTCCACTGTATTGCCTGCATAAATCCAATGCCTATTTATGCATAAAAAGCAGTTCTTTCCAAAGCTATTCAAATGCCAGAAATAAGAGATTATTATGACTTCATGTCATGTTGAAAGACAGGTGGAGGAGAGCACAATGTTTGTGTTGGATTCAAATGTCTGCTGAAATCATTCCTGTCATTGCTAATTGATGTTGCATCCATCTTTAGATTGTGACTATTGGGGGAAAAAAAAAAAAAAAGCTGAAGATCTTATTCAGAGAAATAATTACAGTTGTACACTGGTAGATATAAAATTAAAGTACATGGGGGGAAGGGAGCTACATGCTATAATTTGTCAAATTCCTACACCCCTGAAAAATAAGTAGATGCTGCAAAGGCTACTGTCAGGGGGATAGCAGTGGTCAAAAATAGGCCACTGGTTCTCATTTATTCCATCCATTTTTGCTCTTCTGTTGTGTTTGGAGTATTAGTTTCCAACTATCTAGAGACAAGGCAGAAAAACAATGCCAGGCTTTATTACAAGCTAGAGACGTAATCCCCAAGCATGAGTGCAATTGCACAAGTAAGCTGGAGAGGGAAAAAAGGGAATTCTACTTATGTCTGGCTTTCAGGAATTTCATCCTCCAAAGTCCTTCAGTGTGATATAGTTACAGGCAGTACTAAATCTGCATTACTTCGACAAACTTTCATTGAAGCCATTGAAGATTAGTAATGGAAGCAGTATATGAAGTAGCTTGTCAATAAATGCCTTACCTCCCAGTTGTATGGCTTGGGGGTTTTTTTTCCCCCTTTTTCTTGCTCCTTTTCATGATGTTTGTGTGGATGTTAGCTGAATCTTTCACAGCCCAATTTGTAAATTTTAATACAAAGAACCAACTTCATCTGGTAGAAATTTACACCGCTCCATGTAAGCCAGGCACAAGGTTATATCACATCGAGTCCCCAGACGCACACCTCTCTAGCTGCTGTGCGGCAGAACTGCACTACGATATCTGATACTTGTTATTCCCATACAACATATGTGACTTGACGAGTTGCCGTCAGCCAGCGCTCTTGCCAGACACATGTCCTCCTCTACCTCTATCCCTGCCGCGTTCCTTTGTCAAGATACCATCTTCACCTCTGCACTGGAAGAACCCTGCGCAACGCAACTGCTTCACCCTCGGGAAGCCTGTACTTGAGGTGCGCCGGATACTCCCCATGTCCCAGACAGCAGCTGTGTTGTCGCTTGGTAGTAAGCCATCCTGGAAGGGCCCTCAAGGAGAAAGAGCTTGGAACAGCTCTCCCATGTAGTTGTCCCTTAAAAGAGTGCAGTCATGACTGCTCTGGTGGGTTAAGTTCATTCCAGATTGTGTTTTTCACAGCACACACAATGGCAATTCAGGCGCTTAGTACTGTTTTCCTACCCACTGTGTGTGCAAAGGAAGATGGTGTGGGGAAGGGGGAGTGAAGCCTCTCCTGGGACTGTCAGCTAAATTCCGTGTACAGAGCAGTCCAAAGGACAGCAGTGGAAATCCTACCAGAGAGCAGACAGTGCTTGTAGAAATTCAGTACCCCAAATCCACTCCAGGACATGGAGGTTTTGTGGCTGCTGTTTCACAGGCTGAATTAAAAGCCACAGCGGGCTCTGGTCTTACCTTGGCTCTGGATCACTGCATGAGAGTGTAAATGTCGTTTGCCCATGTAGACTGGATAACCATAATTTTATGTAAGTTATGTGAATTTCATTTACAATTCACCCCCAGAACATTGTCTAAGAAGGTCTTGGAAGTGTAATTTCATACTAGTATCTGCAATTGTGAACCACAGCCTCAGGCAGGAAGATAATTTCCTGGTATCTAGGCAATAGAGTTTATGGATAGAATTGCTTCCTGCAGCTTCAAGGACTTCTTCTGATAGTTGTCTTCCTAATTTCTACATCTTGCTTGTGAAACAAGGAATTTGTTCATAAATTAGGAATCTGTTGTTGTAACATGAGATAATACAGAGATGTGTCAACGTCAGCATTTTTTATATTTCTGGAAATTGAAAACTAATTGCTTATCAGAAATGTTCATCAGCAAGTTCCTAAGTAAATATTAAAGTTTTGTGTTAAGCTTGCTGCTTCACTGACTCCAATTGTAAAGTAGCTGGGAGCGATGGACTCCCCCTTCATATGCTGTCAAGTTAGGGAATTGTAAAATTAAGGTGCTTTTTTTAGCACAATTCCATAAGACATGCATGTCCAGATGCAATTTTAACTTCTCATTTACATTTGCAATTCAATGTGTGTAGGAGCCTCCAAAAATGAAGTCTTCCATGAGAATTAGCTTAGAGTAATATAAAGTAATAAAAATTGATTGCGGCACCTTCTCAGTTGTCTACTGAAAATGTATAAATAAATAACTGCTGAGATGGGTATCAGTGTCTTCTAGAAGGTTTCCTTTTCCCCCCTTTACATTTTGTTACAACAATCGGCTTCACAATGACTCATTGCCTTCGTTAGGAGCGGGAAGACATCCCTCATTATTCATTACTAAAGGAAGGACTTTGCTGCTGCAAAGAACAGCCATGGCATTCTAAATCAGCTACTTTTCAAGAGAAAGGAGTCAATGTCATTCTTCCCCAAACTTTGCCAAAAGAGACAAGAAATAATGCTGTTTAATTGTCTGCCTTTATAAATAGCCCATTCACAATGGGAGAATTGTATTTTTAATGCTGCTGTCAGGATAAAGATACACAGTTTTCTACATTTGTGTCTGAATTTCATTTCTGGGAGCTCGCGCCAAGACCCTCAAAACTATAAATGCTCATATATACGTATGTATAAGTATGAAACGCATTTATTTACCATTTATTGTGTGACTTTTTAATTCCGGAGTACTGTAGGTGTATCACATAAATGCATGCACAAAGCATTTACTGTTTAAGTAATCCAAGGATATATTTGATTTCAAAGGGAGTAGGGAAGACTATTAAAATAATTGTTTTTCTTGATTTTGCTAATACAAATGCTCCTTGTCTCTTTTTGCATTCCTTTTTTTCGGATTTATTTACCTAGGTATTACGGGATTGAGCTTGTATTATGTTTTTGCTGTATTTTAATGTGTTTTTCATTAAGGTCTACAGCATGGACCATGGCTCTTTATAAATAAAGCTGTGATCATGTATTACTAGAAACCCCATTTCAAACTGTACTTTTGCCAGACTTGGTTAAGATTTTCTAGGAAGGGACATTATAGTTGTGTGATTAATCTTCAGAAAAGGGAAATTTTGGCTCTGCAGTATTTCTTACTGTATTAACTTCAGAGATTTATAAAACCGACTTGAAACTGCACTGTAAGTGTGTTTATAATGACTTTTAGCTGCTTTAATAATCCTCAAAGTTTGGTGACTGTACAGATCACAGCTTCACAAATACAGCCCATTACCTGTAGCATCCAGATGAAGTTATCAGAGGTGGAGGAAATTACTTGGGATTGTATTTCTCCGTAGCGATGCAGTAATCCAACCTCTGGCTGAGGCTGGGGCTCTCAGAGCCTTGTCTGCATTTATCCCATTATGCCGTGGGACATGTGCATGGGTGATAAAGAACATCTTCATGGTGAAAGTCTAGCCGGGGCATGTGCATCCCATCAAATCTTGGTGGCGCAGTTGTAAGGCACCCGCTGTGGTAGTGTTGTTAGGAAGATTTTCAAGCCGGTCTGTGATTCATTTTGTCTGTTGTTATCAGTATCTACAGCGTGCTACTGCTAACGCCACTCCCTGCAGCTGGCAGTGCTTAATGTCTCTCTTAGTTCACAATCCTGCAAACCTTTTTCAATCCGCGGAGCCCTTGATCATGCAAATAGCTCTGCTAATTGCAGGTATCGGTGCTGTCTTATCCCCATGGAGTAAGAGCCTCTCGGACAAGTAATGGTGTGCAGGATCAAATCCTTAGATTACATTTATATGTGACAAGCCATGGCACGAGGTTGTTTTTAAAAGTCACCAGTTAAAACAAAACCAGTTGAAACAATGCCAGAAGCCTCATGTTAAGCTTTCCGGCTGTGTGCTTCTTTCAGTGTTTCCAAGCTTTGCTTTTCATAATAATAAATATCAAACAACAACCCTGGGAATCGCTGGGAGCTGGATTGGCAGGTCTCAGTCTCCATTTAACATGCAAATGATCAGCCTGTGCCCACATATGGCCGCTTGCTAGATCAGAACTGGGTTCATTAACACAGAACTCGGAGAGCTCTGGGTGGATGTGGGGTATGTGCATAATAACCCAGAGCACAGTGCTTTAAGCCAGGAAGAGGATAATACACAGCACAGAACCGCATTTACATATGTTCAAGAATCCAAATACTGGACATGTTTCTGCAGAACCCCGGTTTTTCTTTTTTTGGTCTTCCAATTCACAACTTCCAATTCAGTTAAGTAATCAGGCTTCAATCAACTGCACATTTCCAGACCAGTGATTTGCGATATTTTGTGACTTTAAAGCAATTCCTGACCTTCATCTCTCAGATGACATGCAGAGTTTCTTTAATGGTGCTAAAGACTGAACAGGGGTCCACTAACACCTACAGAATTCAACTCTTTGGCATTTTCTTAATTTTCACTTTATTAAGCAGATAAAAGGATAGCTATTTCCTTTCCAGGCTCCTTTGTTTGCTCGGGTACACAAGCCAAACATTGCTTTGATCAATGAGCAGAGTAAGCTGTGTGAAACCTAATGTGTGTCTTTATGTCTTTAGGCATCCACTGTGACAATATATGCTCCCAGGGCCGCTGGGGACCAAACTGCTCCATCTCCTGTAACTGTGAGAACGGGGGATCCTGCTCCCCCGAGGATGGCACCTGTGACTGTGCGCCAGGCTACAGGGGACCCCTGTGCCAGAGAAGTAAGAATTTCCACCACCATAGATGTGGTGGCAAAAGCAAAGCAGGTAGAAATGCTCATTTATGACAACAGGCAGAGCCACAGGTTTCCAAGCTGCTTTAGCTCAGGACTTCCTAAGGGCAAAAGCTAACCTAAAGAATGCTTCTTGGTCAAGAAGTCAAGACTCTACTGCATTGAGTCGTGCCTTGTGTTTCTTCTTCTGGCCTTCCACAGCCCCTGGAGGCCACAGGTGACCTGAAAGAAGGAGCAACACCTCCACATACCACACTTGGCGGGATCTGGGCAAAACCAGATTTACAGTTAAGTGGTGGTAAACTACAGGATACCTGCAGCAGGCAGCTACGACCCATCACATAATGACAAGTGGATGAGTGTTGACTATCAAAATAACAAGACAATGTTTTAAATGCCAGAAAAAGAAACACAGCAGCATGAAATAGCTCCTGCCTGATGCTCTGCTGCTACATATTAAAATGTGCCAAGGAGATAAAATTTCGCTCATTTGTTTTATCAGGGAAGCTGCATTTGCCCCTTAGGGACCCCTATTCACTGATCCAAACCACACGCAACCTTCTTCCTGTGTAAACAAGAAATGGATTTGTCTTTCCTTTCCGCGGCAGCTCTTGTTCTTCCTGTAAGACATTCTGCATGCCCAGTTCATATATCCCCTTTGATTTCACCAGTTACACTTGACACTAGAACACACTCATCTCTAAAAATAATTTGTAGGTGACAGTTTTTATTTAAAGCCATTATAACAATGACCTCTAGCACTGCTGCAGTTAATGGCCTATAAGCATTTCCATTATAAACCCCAATTTCCAGGTGCTTCAGCATATCTATATAGCTGTAAAACCACTCTCCAAGGCTAAAATGTGGTGCTCAGAGCTTCAGGGAATTGGGGAAGAAATTGTTTTACAAATTTGAAACCCTAAGAGTGCAAAACTTCCAGAAGTTAATAGTTTCTGACCTTTCTGAGATGAAAAGAAACAGCTTAGTTCTTTATCAGCTGATGGCATGTGGGCTACAAGAGGCAAACCATGTCCCCAGCTTGCAACTCCAGTAATTAGGCTGCTCCCTGAGGACGTTTGCTGAGGACCTAATGGGGAGAAGTTGTCCTCCCCACTGAGGTGACAGCAGAGGGGTTCTGTGGATGCTTCTGCTATTGCCTCGTGTCGCTGAAATACCTCTCTCGAATATATGGGCAGGGAATTCAGCTTGCTCCCACCCTTCCTGCGAGGTTCAGGCTCAAGACTGCCCTGTGAAGGGGACACTCTGTCGGTGAAGGTAGCTTTACCCTGCTAAGTTTCAGAATCATTCCCATTTTTCTCTTGGAAATTCATTTAGAAACAGAATTTAGCTTGTGAAGGGCGGTACTGAAGATGATGCTCAGCCAGCTTGTTCTGTCCGTGTTATCAGGGTTACATGAGACACCGCGCTAGTTTACTGCTCTTGGGCCTGCAGAAATGTCTCCAGCAATGATCCAGGTTGTTTTAAAGCTCGTGCACCATCAACAAACCTGTCAGCTAAGTTCCAGCTGGGAATCTGCAGTAGTGTAAGAACCTGACACCCTCTGTGAACATACGGACCAAGAGAAAAATTCTTTCAGTGAAAAAATAGAACAGACATGATATAGTAACCACTGAGCCAGAACTGTATAACGGAAAATCACAGGAGTAAAAATAAAAACATATAAAGTCATTTTTGCAGTTACTTACTGCAATTTAACATTTCTTTGTGCTTACCTATCGCAGTGAATGTTTGGACAGTGGCTGGTTTTTCATTCTACATGTGCTTAAAAGCGACAATACGCATTTATAAGAGATACTGAGCCATAATCTTGGCGCTATACCTTATGTACAAGTTCTATAATAATTTCAATCCAGGTTTTAAGCAAATTAAGCACACAGTTCATGACAAGTTTACTCAGCTATCCGGTGTGATTACTGATGCAAATTAGGTGATTTTATATGCTGTTACCGTAACTACCATTTTTAGATTCTGTTCATCGCTGATGAATGCGGCTCCTGCAATGGCATGTATAAACTGACTGTCCCAATTGAACACAGGTACTGCACCTAATACATTTAGAAATCACCTTTTGATGGAGTTGTTTAGATATAAAACATTGAGAGTTTTCTAATACACCTTCTCTGATTCCTTAGCTTAATTCCAAAGGAAATGGCATTCTGAGTTTCTGTTGTCTGTACATGTGGGCGTGTATTTCTCTTCCTACCTATCTTAAAAGCTTTGGATATGTGTTATTAACCATGTCTGCCAGTGGGCTGTGAGGTCCTGAACATCTTAAACTCCCATGTTTTGTAAAAGAGTTTAGCTGGAGCAGCCTAGAGAGACTTGGATCAGTGTCCTGTGAGAGAGTGAGGCTGCTGCGAGTGCTCTGCTGTATTATTAAATAGCCAAGGACTTACATGTGGTAGGATGGGGTGAGCGCTTGAAGCACAGAAGCAGTTTTACTCAGAGCTCACACTTTATTAGACACGGAATGATCCAAGAGGCTTCATAATTTCAGCTGTTCACAAAATTGTGTTTTTATAAATTAAGATATATTGGTTTGGGATTAAGACAGAGAGAGAATTCTCAAGATCTCAGCAATGAGAAACCTTCTGAAAAAGCCTGTGACATCTTATTTTGTTTTGTCTTCAGTTTGTCCCCCTGGCTTTTACGGACACCACTGCGGTCAGCCATGCCCCCAGTGTGTGCACAGCAACGGGCCTTGCCACCACGTGTCAGGACACTGCGATTGCTTGCCTGGATTCTTTGGCGCTCTCTGCAACCAAGGTACTGAGTCCAAGACCCCCAGATGCCACCCCCTTTCCTAAGTTTCTGCGTCTGTGACTTTGCAGCAAGACCGATCACGAAGTCCCTGCCTTTTTCCCTTGTTTCAGCAGTTTAGATCACGAGAAATTCTTTACTTCTGAGGGAAAATGCAAATAGGCACTCAGTCACCCTTTTGTAAATATGATGTGCTCCTGCTTTCATAAATAAAACAGGTCTGCTGCTCTGTATTGGAATGAATATGGAACGAGACACCTGCTGTAAATGTATCAGCCATCCAATGGTTTCGTTTTCCTTTGTGCTAAGCCTATCATATCCTAAATGCCGATGGCACCTTCATGCACTCTTCTTCAGTAGGAGGTGCAGATACCAGTTAAGGTAAAGGCCAGCTCGGGTACACAAGCCCCAACACCCAGTCAATGCATGGAACCTTACTCACACCGTCTAGGACCTGAGAGGGAATAGCTAAAATCGTGCGCACCCAAACACAAGTGCAGGAGACAGAAAAATTTGCAATGAGGCAAGGGAAGTGAGTTAATTTTCTCAGGGGAAGAGCAGCTTCAACTCCCCCTAATGTCCGTCACCTTTCTGTACCTTTGAAAGTTAGGCTGCTTTTAACCATAGGTTTCATTTTCAGTTTTATCCTAAAAATGCCCACAAAATCATTACAGTGTACTGCAGAGTCTCAGTTATTGCATACTACTGTGGGTATTTTCTACATACAGATTTAAAAAGGCATTATTCGTAATGGCTACTGCCCTTGTGAAGTCACCATCCCTGTAAAAATTGAACTGACACTTTTTAATGACCTGCTTTTCAGTAAGTTAGAAATTGCAGACAGCACTTATGCAAAATCATTGAACATAGATTAGGTATAACCATGTTTTCTTTTTCCTGCGCTGTATAGTCAACTAAACATTATACCAATTAATTTATTAAAATGAACATATTTCAGTGAATTTGTCCATTTTATGTGAAAAGTTAGCCAGATTTCAAAGCGTAAGCAGGGCTAATTATCCTCTTAAGAAAACTATTTTATTTTTGCTCAGATGTTCAGCACTTCTGGTTTTACTTTGAAATGTTGATCTATCCAGCAAATTAATTTTAAAATATTCATGTCCTAATTAAAATCAATTTGTGTTGCAGTTTGTCATAATGAGTTAGCATGTAACTTTATTTTGTAGAAAGAAAAATGCTAATTAATGTTTTCCGTTCGAAAAAATGTGAAATGAAGATTTCACTTTTGAATTTTCACCTCCTTGTGCCGCCTCTTTTCTGGCAGCGGGAACATTCTTCCATCAGCAGCACGCGCATGTGAGGAGCTGTGTAACCTCGGAAATTGCTCAGGTTGACACGGTTGTGCTAAGGATCTTGTGCAGCAAACAACTAAGCAGCTGTTTCACGAATATCTTTCACAATCATGTAGCAAGATGGATTGACGATAACTTGTTGTCACTGGTAGAACACACCTGACACCCCACAGGGACTTTGGGAGTCCCTGTTCAGAGCTTTTACAGCTAATTAACACCACTCTCTGCATTGTACAATCAGATCGCTCCGGAAGAAAGCGCTATTAGTCCTTACTTTAAAGCTTTGTTTAAAAATGTTTGAGACATTTGGAAAAGTGCTTGTATTTGGATCTCACAGCTTTACAAGAGAGTCACTGTGTCAATCCACAACCAGGTTACTTAAATTAATGAGAACAACGGCTTTGGCAGGATTGGGTTTGTAATCCATGTTGCCATTCGGGAGGGCATCATACTAGCTCTTCGCGGAGGCAAGAGGCGCTCACATGGTAGGAACCCCTCGGCTAGCTCTCACAGTGTGGAACCGAGGCATTTCTGTTATAAAGTATGGCCTGTTGCCTTTGTCAGCATCCGTGTTCGGATCACAAATCTATTCCTGATTCATTAGTATTCCATGTTACAGTGCAAATCAGCTCCTATTTTAAGTAAGTCTTTTGAGAACTATTTTTCGTACGTATAAAAAATCCAGCCTTCATTTAAGTGATGTTATCTATCTCCATCTTAAAGATGCAATAAAAATATTGCAGTGAACTGCTCTATACAGAGCGTTGGAACTGGATAATGGTGTAGCGTGTACGAGAACCTAGGCTGACAGATCATTTTAGGTTTTGCTTTTTCTGTGATATGAGGGCTTTTCTTTCCTCCTCTCTCCTTCTCTTTGTGTCTGTGTATTGTTCTTTTCATTGTGTCTGTATATTGTATTTAGTTTTATCTCTTTTCAGTTAGACAACTAGTCTGTTTCGCACATAATTTGAAAGCCAAAATCAACTTTATCCACTGCTACAGATAAGTCCGTAGCATACAGAAATGCATGCAGAAAACAATAGTATGCCATAGGTTTCTGCCATAGTAAGAGCAGAGGATGGCATATTGTATAAAAGCGAATGAATCACAGCTCAGGATTTCAATCTGTGGCTGATTCACAGTCAGGATAGATTGAGGTCACCTGCAGAGACTACATATGAGAAAGTGAGGATGGCTGAAGTGGTAAAACAGTTGCATAATTCAGGGAAGTGCCTTAATCACTTTTTTGACATGACTATTATTTACCAGGATACAAGTCCAGTTCCATTTGTTACATTCTTTGCAAAGATGGACTGTATGTTTTATCTTGTTTTGAAAATACATCTGTTTTTGTCAGGGAACACAGCCAATAAGAGCACAGAAATTAAACATTTCATTCATTACTGAGCAGAGCTTTCCATCAACTTTAACGTTAAAGATTTCCAATAATTTGGTGGGAGGTTGAAGATCTATGTGTCTATTAGTTTTATGTCACTGTGCTTAGGCTGTTATAAGATGACTCTGAAAAAAAATTACAGAGTTTCTTTTCATCCAACCTCAGGAGTAAGCTAGGTGGACCAACAGGCATAGACCCTGATTTTGTTAGGATGCGACATGTGTGTCTAACAACTCTCAGTCAAACATATATATAATACATCGAAACCACCACTTGCAACCTAATTGAACACTTACTACAGCAAGGGGTACTGGCGATGAATAGGTAGACAAGCATGACGTTTCAGCAATTGGGTATGTGCTTTATTTGTGGGAGCAGTCTTTCTCCAGACTTACATGGTAAAAATACTTATGGAAGTGGCAGTCTTGCTTCTGCTTTAACTCTCCGCTTGCCTGATTTGATTCTGTGAGGTGCTGGGAGCCTGCCTGCCACCAACGTGGCTGAAAGCTCATCTTCGGCAAAGGCTAGTGCCTTTAGTAGCAAAAGGCATCTTCTTCTCTCACCATCATTTCATCCAGAAGGAATCAGGACAGTGAGGAGGCAGGTGCTCTGGCGTACCCCATATTGCAGTGCCCCGTGATGCAGGATGCATTTTGTGGTGCTGGTGGGATAGCAGGGGAAAGGACCCCAGCTCCTTCAGTCTCTCCTTGGAAGCTTATCTGCCACCAGCCATTCCGTGGGCACTGGCCTCCTGCTACCACACCCATGGCTAGTACATCAGGCCGTCATACCGGGCGGTAAGGTTTGCAGCTTTTGGTCCATTATTACTGTCATTATCGGTCATACAATAAAAGGGAGTTAGGTTCTAGTGAGACACCTGAAAGTAAGAGTCCCCATTGCTCTTCATCTTCTTGAGACTTCGCTAGGCTGATATTTAGTCTAAAATGTTCCTTTCCTATTTTTCCTGTTGTCACTGTTGAAGTTGTAAACCTCTGAGGCAGCGCAGATCCCTATTTCAGGGTTTGCACCAAGGGACCCCCTTGGCCAAGTCCCCAGATCAATCCCTTCTAGGCACTTTCTTGTGTTTGCTACTTCTCTTTGAATTCTTCTCAACTTTATTGTTCTCTTCCTCTGCCAATAACCCCTATTCCCTGTTTTGTCTCTCCTCTTTTCATCCTTCCATAATGCCCTTCAATAATTGTCATCTTCTAGCTATATTAGATTCATTTTCCAGCAGGAAAATGGATTTTGAGATGACTTTTTCCTGTTGTTTTTATGCCTGGGATGTAAGCAAACAAAATGGACTTGAATACTTGCTGCCTTTTCCTTCTTTCCAGAAGAATTTTGCCCATTTGGCTTCAGCAAAGAAAAATGTTGTAATTACTTTTATCTCTAATTGCTAAATGTTAAGTCCTATGACTTCCTCATATTCATTATGAAGAGCCTTCAGTAAACTGCCTTATATTTTCACAGTCTGTCCCAGTGGAAAGTACGGGAAGAACTGTGCCGAGGTCTGCCAGTGCACCGAGAACGGGACGTGCAGTCCCATTGATGGGTCGTGTCAGTGCTTTCCGGGCTGGATAGGGACCGACTGCTCTCAGAGTAAGTAAGGAGTTATTTTTCCACCTCCGCTTTAAAATAACGTATTTTCCTGTTCAGTGTTTTCTGAAAGTTAAAGACAGATTCTGGGGAAATCCCTGAAGTATTACAGCAGCCAGTGCCGTACTCTCTTTACAGCTTATTTCTTTTAATTAATCTAAGTTAGCTTTGGCTTGAATTAGTTTCAGCATTTGGAATTTGCAGAAGCCGTTACTAGCTTCTATTACAGGAAAGGGAGGTCACAAGCTCTTATCAGAAAGGAAAGCTCCATGCTCCCTTTTAATTTCTAGTTGGATTCCCTTTTATTTATTTTTCGAAATCATTTTCTTTCAGCTATTACATTAGAAATTATTAACCAGTAAATGTTTTCATGCACCGAGACCCCAGAATTGAGAAATTAGGAAGCTGAAATATTTCCATTGAATGTAATTTAATTGTAAAAGTCGATGTGGGCTTGGAGGGATGGAGGATTTCTTTCTGAAAATTGCCCAGGTGGAAGATTGGCATTTGCTGATCCCAAAGTGTCATTTCCTGAGAGCATCCCTTAATTGAAGATAGATCACAGAGGGAAGCAATATCCTATCATTCAGAAATGTTACTTCATATTCAGGATACAACTAGCATATTAGACACTATTCCAGAGTAAAATATATTAAACTTCAAGTGATAAAGTAGGAATCGGATAAAAACAGACGGCTGTAATTTTGCCTTTATTGTGCATCTTCCACAGGCAGAATATTGCTGTCACTCAAAGCTAGGAAAGAAAAAAGACAGAAAGCTCCACAGATTCCTCATTATATTTAGCCGTGTAATTGGGAAATGACTGTTAGTTTCTGTTAACCTTGAAAAAAGATGGTTTTTCTTACAGAGTGAGGCAGGGCAGTTCAGCAGCAACAATTTCCAGGTTAGCGGGCAGAAGGACCTGGCGATAGCTACTCTGTGTTTTGGATGAACAAAGTGGGAACCTGACTGTTTCCTCAGTTACCTTCTTGTAAAGAAAGTGTAAATCTCCCAACGTGAACCTGGCCTCACACCAGGCTCCTGTCGGAACCTGGCCTCGCATACCCGAGTCCAGTACTGAGCTATTTTGGTCAGACCTCCCTCCGCACCAGTTAACCTGGAATGACCAAGAGACGGAGCTACAAAGGAGATAATTTTAGCTCCACCTCCGGAGCCAGTCCCGGAGACACTAATAGACCCTGCAGTTCTGGCTTGCAAAGGCATTGTAAAAGTATTTCTGGTTGCTTATAGCAGGAATACTTTAGGTCAAATCATGTTCAGCTTTACATTGTGCGAGTTCAGTGACCTTTTGTTTGATTTACGTCATGGCAGGGGTTTTTTTGCTATTCATTCTGGCTTTAGAGATGTCTGTCATATGCCAGAAACTTGAATTTATCGTCAGAATTGGAGCCAATGGCATACATGGAAATAGGCACGGTTTCTGTACTTTCAGGTTTCCTGGGAACCATGCCTTATTAATTCATGTCTTTAATAGGAAGCAATGGAAAGTGCTTTTTAAAGCAAAAATATAGTTGTTATATTGAAGGGTTATCATCATTTTGGATCTTTTAGTCTGGCACTAATAACTGTAACTTACTGCATTCATTTTTAGAGGGAGGCTTAAAATAACTTTTGAAAATATGTTAATATTGTACTTGTTGAAATATATAATCGACCTGGAGATTTTAATTTAGTATTAGCCCCATCAACAAAAGCAATCTGATTTTGTGGATGAGAATTCATACTGTAAGAAGTTTTCTTTACATTTTTACGTACTTTGAGTAGCACTCTATGCTTCAAATGAATGTGGTAATTTCAGTAGTTGATTGCATGGCAAAAGTAAACCATGAATAGCTGTGCTTTATTATGCAAGACTTTCAGCATATCAAAAAGAAAATTAAATTACCTCCATATCTTAAAACCCTGTCTAAATTGTCTCTGCTGATAACGCCGGTAAGGCAGGGCGAGTGGTTAGAGCGCTGAGAGCCACGCGGTGTCGAGGGTCGCCGTTTCAGTGGTTCTCGGTGCACGTATGCAGCAAAGACCCGATCCTGCCACCTGACCCACATGGGGAAGAAATCCCATGCCGGGGCCAGACAGCGTGGGTGAGGTTGCAGGTTGGCACCTGAGTTTGCAAAGCAATCGTGGGCTTGGAAGAACCGGTCATTGTCAGGGAGTCGCTGCAGCGATGCCAAGCTCTGCAATGCGAAGTTCTGCCTTTGCTGGTGTCTCGCAGGTTCTTCCTTTATTTTTGTTCCTCCGCAGCACTAACGCACTATCGTTGCTTTTTTTTTGTCAGCTGACAAATCTTTTTTATTTTCATAGCTTGTCCCAGTGGTTTTTGGGGCCCTGATTGCTTTCATTCATGCAACTGCCACAACGGAGCAATGTGCAGCCCTTACGATGGAGAATGTAGATGTACTCATGGTTGGACGGGGCTCTACTGCACTCAGCGTAAGCCTTTCAGAGACACTGTTGTGCCAGGGAATCTGTCAAAGTATGTGCTGCTACCTCGTGTCTCTTCCAAGTATTGCAGTCTTCCCTGTTACACCACCTGCTTCTTACTTGTGATAGTGTCACTTCACCCCGAAGAAAATAGTCCTGAAGCTTTTCAAGGTTTTTGATGCCTTTGGCACTCGATAAAGGAGGGACCGATCATTTAGATCTTTGATTCATTGTCAGAATTGGCCCAGTCTATGTCCCTGCTTGTTAAAGCCCCGGTATCTGTGGTCTGATTTAGGAAAATGTTTGCGATTTCTCACCCTACTCGTGCCAAATTACCAGCACTGTACAAAAGAGGAGATCAAGTTCTGGTGAGCCTTTTAAGAAGATGCTTTCGTTTGCAAGTAATTGATTATCTCTGGCCTTTTAGAGAGTTTCTGTTTAGCTGTCTTCTTTCACTTCTTGAAAATGTAGTTTGTATAGATGGGTCAAGTTTTCATTCTTCTGAAACACTTAAGAGGCAATTCTGTAAGATATGAGAAACACTACTTCAAGAAAATTGGCTGTCGTAGTATCTCTGCATTTAGATGATCAAATAAATGTGATTAAATATACAGAGGCTGAAAATCCATAGATTTATAGGCCTATATATTTTGTGCTGATAACGCATCTGAGTTTGTGCTTCAGCTTATTTCTTAGTCTTTCCTTATTCTGATTCCTAAAAGGTTGCCCAGCTGCTTTTTACGGAAAAAACTGTGCCAACGTTTGTCAGTGTCAGAACGGGGCGGACTGTGACCACATCACTGGCCAGTGCACCTGCAGGACGGGATTTACAGGCAAACAATGTGAGCAGAGTAAGTAGCCACATGACTGCATTTTTCTATTTCTCCGGGGGGTGGGGCTGTATTTCAGAATTCTTTGCAGAAATAGGCTCTTAAATGAGGGGTTGAGGTCAGCAAGACTGGAACCCTGGGCACCTTGTATAATCCATAGGGAGAAGGCGGCATCTCTGGAAAGCTGGACAGGCTGTTTAAACATAAAGAAATGTAGTGAATGTTCTGCAAATTAGGCCTTTCCGTTCCCAGCCAAAAGTTAGGTGAGATAAAAGCAAGTCACGGCACTCAGTGCTGACTGGATGTAGCCTTCCCGAACAACTTGTACCTAATGAACAGGAAAACGCAAGCTGCATCGTGCCTTGCTAACGCTGCGGAGAGCAGCAGCGTCAGGTTTCCCCAGGCACAAAGGAAGACAGAAGGGATTAAAAAGAAGCCCTTTCTGTTCTCTGCCTTCCAAGGAATATTGCGGCTTTCTTGCCTAAGTTGTTGCTCTCTAGATGCGCACCAAATAAAGATTCATCTTTACAATGAAAATAGATGAAGAAAAAAAAAAACCGCTTGCCATTTTTGGAAGGATCTGTGTTTAACTTGAGTAGTGAGCAAGTGTTAAACAATTAACTTTGATTACCTTGCAAGGGTACTGGCATATCTTACTGTAATTGTTGTCAATGTCTTGCGGCATATTTAGCACGCCGTGCCAAATGGCTTCTTTTAAGAACAAAGAATTAGGGTAGTGGAAACTGTATGTGCTGTAGTTGAATAATTATTTGTTTGTCCAGTATAGTAAATCAAAAGAAAATTCTCACACACTTACTGGGATTCTACATGCAGGGTGAAATCTGTCTCACCTTACCAAGGCAAAACCACAGGGTTTTGTTCCTTTTTTTGGCAGTAAGGTAATATAGTAACATTCCTGC